CGAGGCATCCAGCGCCGCCCGGGCCCGGCTGGGCTGGGGGCGCCGTCGCAACAGCTCTGGGGTCGAGAAGCGGCAGGGAGGGAGGCAGGGTCCTGGACGCAAGGTGGTGACAAGTCGCGTTTGGCCCCAGGTAAACGGGGGTCTGGCGCCCGCGCTGGTGGTCACGGTGGCTGTGAGTGGGAGGAGGTTACCTGGGATGGCAGGGACGGCAGGGCGCAGGGAGGACAGGCATAGCTTTGGACAGCTTTCTGCCCGCAGGCTAATGATGATAATAATTCATGATAATCCTCAGAATAAAACCACTCATAGTGAGGTGCACACTTAGTGGGTGGCCTGGCTGTTGGGGAGCTTTACAAGCCTTTTTCCACTCAGTGTTCACTATGACAACAAAGTTGGTTCTATTCTTAACCCCACTTTCTACCTGAGGATATACAGGCCTGGAGGTCGAGGGAGTTGACAGCTGAGTAATGAACCTCAGGAGGGCTGATGTAAGAAGCTCTCGTAGTGCAGTGGTTATGAATCCGGCTGATAACATCAAGGTCAGCAGTTCGAAACTACCAGCTGCTCCGCCGGGGGAAAGACGAGGCTTTCTGTTCCAGTACTGGGTCACTATGAGTTGGCACATAACCAGATCTGATTCCTGGACGCGTGAAACCGCGACCCCTCAGGGCCTGCTCTTTGCTGAAGACGGAAATCAGTAATTCAGCCTTTTCTTTTAATCACTTGGTTGGTGGATCCAAGCTACCTTCCAATCCTCAGATACATGCAATTCTCTCGGGCTTTCATCGTGCAGTTGCCTTGATGGCTCACCCCCAGCCTCGCTCCACACTAGACTCCTCATGCTTTCTGTATTGACTCTGTTTGTTTTCTTAGCATTATTTGTGATTTGTCATTATGTTGTATTTTCTGTTTTCTCCTTTTACAGTCTGCCCTTGCTTCTAGACTCTTAAATTCTAAACAGGAGATCATGTCTTATTTTCATTTTTTTAACCACTGTGTTCCCAATGCCAGAGAGCCCAGAGTTAACCACTGGACTGCAAACCGAGAAGTTGTCAGTTGAACCCACCAGGCATCAGTCTGCTTCCATAAAGATTGTCATTGTTGTCATGTGCCGTGGAGTCGGGTCTGACTCATAGCGACGCTGTACAGGGTTTCCAAGGCTGTAAATCTTTACAGGAGCAGAAAGCCTCATCTTTCTCCCGGTAGTTTCGAACTGCTGACCTCCCGGTTCGCAGCCCAATTCGTAACCACTACACTACCAAAGCTCCTTTCCATAAAGATTACATTCTTGGAAACACTCTGTGGCAGTTAATTTTGATTTTATTCCCAGTGCCTAGCATGATAAAACCAGAATTAAGGACTGTATTGTTTCTCAGGTACGTTTTTTTTTTTCCCCATGCTGAAAATTATTGTAGACATACTACATATCACATGTATGGAGTCCTATTGTGGCACTGTGGGTTAATGTACTGGATTGTAAGGTCAGTTTGAATCACAAGGTTGACGGTTCAAGCTCACAAGCTGCTCCTTGGAAACCTTATCCAGGGTTGCTATGAGTCAGAACCAACTCGACAACACTTAACAACAACAACAGCACTACATGTATGGAGTCCCCGTGTGGCGTTGTAGGATAATGCATTGGACCATAATATCAGTTTGAACTGCAAGGTCAGTGGTTCAAACCCACCAGCCGCTCCTTAGAAACCCTATACAGAATTTCTATGAGTCAGAGCCAACTCTACAGTACATGTATGGCGGACACCTTCATGAGTGTTTGCAGGACCGTGTAAGATCTTGGAGGACATTGATTAGCAGGCTAAGGTGTTTCAACTTCATTTTCTAGGCAGTAAAGGCCCCTGGATGGTTCTTGAGAAGAAAAGTAACATAATTGGAACTGTGCTGTATGTAGGAAGAGTATTCTGGTAGAAGTATTTCAAGAAGGATGACACAGAAGAGGCTGGAAGTCTAGTCCAGGGCCTCAAATCTTATCGTGCACACAGAAATCCCTGTTAGTTAATATGCAACTTCCGTTCAGTAGGTCTGAGTTGGGTTCAGAGGTTCTGCATTTCTCAGAAGCTCCCAGATGACACAGATACTGCTGGTTTACAGCCCACACTTTGAGTAGCAGGGACCTTGAGGACAGTTCATTCATCTAAGTGGCAGGCAATGAAGATCTGACTTAGGACTCCTAAGTGTCCAAGGACAAGTGGCTGACCAGATGGATTTGTTCATACTTAGTGACAGAAAAGAGAAATAGACTGGCGAGTGTATCAGTGAAGACTGCATTTTGATAATAGTAGCACAAAAAAGTGAACATGTTTTATTTTTCTCATGAAACAACAAATATGGAGGTCAGTGATTTCTGGCATTGGTTAATGGGTCTTTTAGCCCTTCCCATGTGGTCACAAGAGGCTGCTGAGACTCCAGCCATTGCTCTGGCATTGCAGACAGAAAGGAGAAGAGTGGGGAAGGGGAAAAGTGTCCCTGCCCTCTCTGATGAGCTTTCGACATTATAGTAAGCACTGGTCACCACTATCTGCAAGGGAAGCTGGGAAAAGGTTTTTTTCTTTCACTGTTTTTAAGTCAAATTCCTAGCTGTGGGGACTGAAATCGTGCTCTGATGTGGGCCTTGGTATGTGAATTATTTAAACCGGTAGAGGAGATGCCTTCTATTCCACACAAGGAAGTCAGTTCTGGCTATAACATTAACGGCAGCCTCCATGCACTGAACACTTGCTCTGTGTCACACACACTGAGATAAATACTTGGCGTGTGTTACTTCATCGAATCATTTTAACAGCCATATATATTACGTACTGTTATAAGTCCCTTTTGTGTATGCGGCACAGAGAGATCAAGTCATTTGTCCTGTAAGAGTCAGAGGGGCCCTGGAGGAACAGTGGTTAAGCACTCTGAAAGGTTGATGGCTCAAACCCACCAGCAGGTCCACTGGCGGAAGATCTGCTCATCTATTTCCATAAAGAGAGTTCCACTCTTACACGGGGTGGCTGTACATCGGGAATGACCAAATAACCTTTGTCTAATTGTCTAAACCAGCAGTTTCTAAGCTGAGCTCGCAGGCCCAAAGTCCAAGTGTGGAGACTGCCCCATAACCATCAAACAAACTGCTCCTTCATCTTAACTGCGGAGGAAGTTATTGAGTCTGTAAAAACAGAACAAAGACAAACCACTGATGGTTGTGGTTGTTGTTAAGTGCTGTTCAGTCAGTTCCCACTTATAGCGACTCTGTATAGGGTTTCCCAGGAGCGGTTGGTGAGCTTGAACCATCGACCTTGTGGGTCAAAGCGACTTTGCAGTCTAATGCTTTAACCCACACCACCACACCATGTAATTAAAGCCCTGTTGAGATAGGTGAGAATTTGTCAATGCAGTGTAATCGAACACTTTATTTTATAAAAGTAGGAGCTGACTACTTTTTTCTGACTCCTACATCTTTGCCCTTTCTACTTGGTGTAAGTCTTTATATCATTTTTCTAATGAATGCATTAGAATGAGTCAAATAATTTCTCAGGGCCCTCAGCTCCGAAGTTCAGTTTGTATATGTAAATGGATGTTAAATGCTTATGTAGTCCCAAATGGTTAGATTTAGTCTTCAAAATGAACGCAAAAGATGAGGCATTAATCCCTTATAATTTAGATTTCTTTGTGTTTTCTGTTACTCTCGGAGGTTCAGTATGATTGTCTTTGGGATGTGAGATTTGGTTTAGTCATTTGCCCAGGATCACATAACAGAAGTAGAAGTAGAAAATATGTAAATCATAGTTTTCTCACAGAATTTATATGCCTCTTCCTTTCATTCTGAACATTGGTTTTGTAGACTCATACTTAAGGAAAAGCCATTAATGTTGCATTGGCCAGAATCCGCTTATTTTACTGTTTCTAGGAAGCTTCAGGCAAGAATTTTAAATAGTTTTTTAGGTACCCAGAGAGTTGCATCTCCAAGCAAAATAGCTCAATGAAGTTTTTCCAGTAAAAAAAAGTTCTGTTTTGTTAATAACTAAAGTTATATACCCTTTTGCAAATAGAAAAGTGGGATTTCCTCAAGATTACCCACGTCACTTCTGTGCAGTTGTTAGTGTTGAGTGGGTTCAGACTCATAGTGACCTTATGCACAACCGAAGGAAACACTGTCTGGTCCTGCGCCATCCCCACGGCTGTGGTTATCCTTGAGACCAGTGGTGCTACCACTGTGTCAACCCATCTCCTTGTAGCTCCTCCTCTTTTTTGTGACCCTCCACTTTACCAAGCATGATGTCCTTCTCCAGGGACTGGTCCATCCTCACAAAATATGGGAAGTGAAGTCTCGCCATCCTTGCTTCTAGGAAGGATCCTGGTTGAACTTCTAAGACAGATTTGGTTGTGCCTCTGGCAGTCCATGATACTTTTAATATTTTTCTTCAACACCATAAAGCAAATGCATCAGTTCTGCTATGGTCTTCCTTATTTAGTGTCCAACTTTCACATGACTATCAGGCTATTAAAAATACCATGGCTTGTGCCAAGAACACCTTAGACCCCAAATGACATCTTTATGC